TAAGTAAATTATAAATTAATTTTTTTACCTGTAAAACCACCTAATTTACACCAGTAAATCAGAAAAAATATTTCACTTACTAGTAAAATAATAACTTATAGATAAAAAAAAATACTTATAAGCAAAATCATTTGTAAGCTTAGAATTCATTAATAAGCCTCCGTTTGGTGCGCATTGTGTCAAAAGAATGCATCGAAACTTTCAAATCATGCACAGTAGATTCAATGAATGACCTGCATACCAATTGACTTATATGCCATTATTCCAATTTTGCCCCTCCTTAACAAGGGTTACACCACAATTATTGCAATAGTATTGACCACGATAAATGACTGACAACAGTGGAAATTGATTTCAAAGCTATTCAATTTTATAAATTTTGCGGTCTTCGACAAATTATGAACACTGTTCATTTTCCACTACATGAACTAAGAAAATTGTTAGGAAACCTGCCGTAGTACTCTTTGAAACACAATACTGCGTGTAACAAATGGATTGAACGACTTTCCAACGCGAGAACACTTCTTAAATATTGAGACGTACGGGTGCACTCGATTTTCACACACAAAAAAAAAAAAAGAAAATCATTTCATTATTGTTGTACCATATAATCGTGAAATATGTCCCAATCACTTAGCTGCATTTTCGAAGCGTTCATTTCAGCATGCATTTCGTCCTCAGCGGTTGGTAGCTCTACTTCGAAAGCATCCTCATCCATTTCAACTGTAACTAACACCTCATCCACGACTCCAGAACGACGTAGAAAATTATAAATACCCATCGTCGCAACAACAATAGCAACTTGAGTGCGAAACGAATAGTTGGGCATATGATCGAGGATTTGCCATCTTTCCTTCCACACACCAAACGCACGTTCGATTATATTCCTGCATGACGAGTGTTTGTAGTTAAACTTCTCACGAACATTACGAAAATGAAGACGACGACCTATTCCATCGTCTCGAAACTCTTGAAAGTGGTACAAGATATCCGATCCTTTGTAAGGGGCCATATATCCCGGTCGATGTGCAAACCTCGAATCTACCAAATAATACTTTCCCATTGCTGGTTCTGGGAAATGAATTTTTGGACTATGTATAGCGCGAGCCGGTATACGAACGTCGTGCGTATTCCCGGTTGTTCCAGCAAGCACGAAAGTGAAGCACAAATTAAAGTCACAAACCGCCAACATATTTTGCATTGGCATTCCTTTTCGGCCAATGAAGTTCACCCGCTTGTGACGCGGAAGCACAACTTTCACATGCGTTCCATCTATGTTATATATGCAATCTTGAAACAAGGGATACTTATTCGGGTCTGGCCTGAGGGATCTACACCCTCATTGTAGTTCGGTTTGGCTATATGAGCCGAGCAGATAACGCAACGACGGCACGGAGAACCTCCTTGAAGTAGTAAGATATTGTTCGTAATGAATGATTGAAAATTGTCGTCACCTGCCGGTAACCCTTTCCATGCACTAATATGTACAAGAACATACCGACCTGCTCATATATATCGACTTGCTAGCTACTGCATAAGCCGTATTCATCCTTCACGATATGAACAAAGTGTCGCAATTGCTGTGGGTACATCTGGAACTCTTGATAGCACATTTGTGCGTTCTCCTCCATTGCTTCCTTCATAAACATATGGTCGTTTCTAGCGTAAGGAAATCGTCGGTTGCAACGTTGTTGTTTGCGATAGTAGTTTCTCGCGTTGCTTGATACGATTCGACAATAGGTTACCCATTTAATGAAGTCATCTGCCAGTTGGATAATGAACTCTTCATCATCGACTTCTTCTTCGTCTTCGGATCCCGATTGAAGAGCACAGTTAAAGTCGAGATAGTCCATGATATAATTGTAGGCTACATGTTTTTGCTAGTAAGTTTGGCTAAAATGAGAAGATATTGACACCTCGTAAAAGTGGGAAAATGTGTTACTATCATAGCAATCATCCCAAGTAGTATTATACACACAAGTTTAGACTGTTGGCACGTGTTTTTTGTTTCATGAAATTTCGAATCCATGTCCGTACACGACAGGAAAAAATAAAGGCTAATTGTACTATGACACGTGAACATTTTTCGTACTTTTCTGCTCTCCAGTAGCTATTACTCACATGATAGATTGTAAAATTTTTAAAAGTATAGACCAATACATATTATACAAACATAAAACTACAAATCTCAAAAAGTAATACCCAAACAAAAAAAACAAGAAAATGCGAAAACAACTGTAGAGTTAATTTAGCATAAAATGACGGGACTTGTTATCCCGGTTGAATTGCCACTCAATCCACTCAAATTTCTCATCCGCGTCCTGCATGACGCCGAGCATGTCTCGATAATGCTTCTGTGCCAGAATAATACGAACAAAGAAGTACAAGGCCGTGTGTCGTTTGAGCTTCCTGCCTCTAGCAACTCTTCCACGCAGGCCACACTAGCGGTTTTTCCTAGGCGAGAATTGTGTTTATCTTCGCCGCCACTTCTTCGACGGCAATGTTCGCCCGATCAACGGAGTAAGAAAAATCCTTCGCTGAAACTTTCTTCTTCTTCCCTTTTGGGGGCTCGTCCCAGCTAGCTTTCGTGAAACACTTGCCATGTCGATGCCCTTCGGCAATCGCGGTTTCACAGAAAGCTATAAAGCTTCGTCTCTCGGCATCTCTCCATCGCGCATATTTTTGTGGAGGTTTCACCCATCGAGCAATCATCAACTGCAACGGAGGAGCCAGGCCGGTTTTGGTTACCAATCTATGGGATTGAGAGATGGATGTTTGAAATAGCTTAAACATAAGCAAGAACAAGAAACCAAAAAACCAAAAGAAACGACAAAATGTCGGGCTGCCCATCGAATATAATACCTGCAAGTTGAATGGGAACATGGTTCTGGAAAACAACTGAAGATGCAATTTTGTCGCCTTTGTATGAAATGTGAAAGTGGTAGGTCCCGCAGTTGCAACAAAGAAGAAGGTGGAGAAGGGGTTGGAAATCAAATTTTTGTTATCGGGAAAATTGAGATCGTGGCTATGGCTTGTTGCAATTGAAGATCCAATCTTCACGCCTGGGTATGCAATTTCAAAGTAATGGAGTCCAGTGAAAGAATGTTTCAAGTTCGAGGTACAACCGGTAAAACTAGTCCGGTGTGGTAATTGGATTTCAAAAGAAAGAACGTGGTTGACGTGTGGTCATCGACTGAAAATTTTTCCATCTACGCAATAAGGGAATACACAGGCCGAATAACTGACCTGAAAAAAATATGGTGAAGAAAGGAGTCGTTGCTTGTGGCCGTCAAACTTGAACATGAAACCAAAAAAAAAATTGGGAAATCTGTGAAGGCAGCTGTAGGTCTAAGACTTCGGTGTAGCACGGCAATAGGTGGTGCAGCGGTTGGCAATCGTTTGTTGGTTACCTGAAAAATGGAGATGGTAGCTGTGTCCAGTAGCAATTCCTTTCCAATGAGAGAGATGAATTATTTTAGTTCAGTGTCGGTGAGGAAGATTGGGGTAAGGGTAAAAAACCGAACGTTACAACAGTAAATCCTGAAAAACTTAAGTACAAGTAAAAGATTTAAGTAAAAAATATTAATAAGTAAAAAAAATTTATGTATGTAAAAAATAATAATTATTTTCAAGTAAATACTTATGTGCAAGTAAAAAATTACTTTTGAGTAATATTTCACTTGTAAGTTATAAAAATTAATTATATATAGAAAAATAACTTATAAGTAAAGAAATTATTTACTAAAAACTCACTAACAAATAATAAAATCACTTAAGAGTAAATTAACATATAAGTAAGAAATTATTTATATATAAATAATATTGTAATACACTTTTTATCTTCCAATATGTTCACGAAAATATGTTTCG